TAGTGGCTCAAGATTGGGAGAGTAGGAGAAAATATTTGAGGGGAAATTGGAGGAGTGTGGCCGGTTTGGGTGTGGGGGAAAATGAGAGGAGATGTGCAAAATGGCTAACCTAATGCTTGCACTAATGGTCTCACCTTTATAGACATTACTTGATCTCATCTTAGTTCTCATTTAAATCTACCAAACTAGCTTAATTAGCTAGATTTTTGAATTAATCCCCCCCTTTATTGTGGCTGGCCGGTGGAGTGCTTCAAGAGGGAATGACGTAGCATTTCATGTCCAATAGTTGATTTGACTCAATCCCATCATGAAGTCCATGTAGCACACTTCACTAGCCAAATTTTTGGCCATAATCCCTTAAGTTTGGCCGGCCAAGTGAAGGAAGGAAAGAGAAAAATGAAACCTAACCCTTGTACCTTTGTCTACTTTCTAAATTTACTCATTAAACTGTCCAAAATTATACTGACAGCTATTTTCTCCTGTATGCGGGTACTGGATGCTAGTTTGTATTGTGCTTGGAGATTCTTAAAATTAAGGTTCTCAAGCTGTATCTGTACTAGAAATTCTTCCGTTTTAAAGTACGGTGAGAATTTATCGATCGAATTTGCTTGATCGAAAAAAAATGTGAACTTAACGTGAAATCTGCTACAGAATTTAGGAATGCAGATGTTAATTCCATAAATCCTTCAATCACAAAATGTACATAGTATAATGATTTTCCAGGGAAATCCTTGACTTAAATACATGAATTACATTATTAAAATTATGGGATTTTTTCCTTGGTCACTACAATTCCGGTGTTGTTTCGCGACACCACTCACACCATCGGAAAGCTCTCAACGAGCTGGACTCATTGACATGCCGCACGACCTCCATCTCCGCCGGAAACAGCCGCAATCGTCGGCGAAATGTCCGAAAACCACCGGAACTTCTTACCGTCGTAACTTTGCCGTCCGACCTCCGATCGAAGTGATTTCGGTCCCTATGCACTCAGCTCGACGAGACAAACAAAACCCATGCCGTCTCACGCGTCGATTATTGCCGGAACGCCGTCGCAGGAGCCACCCATTTTGGCCGCCGCGCCTCCTCTCTGTTGTGCACTATTCCGGCCTCCGCTTTTGACACCGCCGGTGCCATTAGACTCAGAAGATGACGTAGAACAAGAAGCAACCCTCAGCCGCCCGAATCCGCCGCCGTTTGCCGAAAATCAAAATTCGCCGCCGCCGCCGTTTGGGTGGAGGGTGCTTCCGTTGATCCAACCATTGGATCGTCATGATTTTAGTGTCAAAACACGCATAAGGAAGTGGGTAACAAAAGCCCTCAGCCAATTTTGAGGTTCCATAGCCGAAGAATCGAGAACCAAGTCGCCGGATTTTGCCGACGTTTTTGGGTTTAATCGGAGTAGATAGAGGCGGAATTTGATGAAATTGACGGCACCATTGAACTCAGAATGGTTTATTTAGTAGGGGTAGAACCCAATTCCGCCGCAGAAATATGCTCCGGCGAACTTCCGCCGCTGCCGGTGACCGAATTCCGGCGAGATTCAGTTCTTGAGGTTCCTGATGATCGAATATTTGAGACCATATCCTGACTTGTTTCGACGTGCTGAACGCAACGGTGACTTCCATTTGCGCCAATTCAACTCTGTTGAAAGTCTACCGAACTGTGCACACAGATCGAGACGAATCGAGTTGAGGTTCAGAGCGAGCTATAATGCTTCAAGGATAGACGGTTCAACAACGTAAAGTTATCCGTAAATTAAATTGTCAAGAGGTAGAATATTCTTATTCATATACTTGTTAGCCTTCCTTTAAATGATTTTGGTTAATGAGAATGTTTTAGAACAAAACATGTTAAAAGAAAATAATTTTAAAACAATAGCATGAATAATGCTATTGACTTTCCAATGAGATTTTTAAAAATATCATTTCTTAAAATAAAATATTTGAAAAAATGATAAAACGCAGTGTGGCCTCAGAGATCGGGATATGAGAATCGTATCATTGGAGGCAGGATCCGAAACTCGTACGGATCCACTTCTTACTCAGTGGTCTTATAGCTCTACACATTTTTATTATACAAATGTTTTATCACTTCTTCCTCAGTGGTGTTATGGCTCTGCATATTTTTATTATACATATATTATACCACTACTATATGAGTATTTACTTTTTTAAAAAAAATAAGGATGATCGGTTCCGGGTGTATGTCTTCAGACTGTGAGTACTTTTATTTATAATGTTTTATAAAATTGTATGATCGGTTTCGAGTGTATATTTTCAGACCGTGAGTAGTTTTATTTAAAATGTTTTATAAAATTGTATGATTAGTTCCGGGTATATGTCTTCGGGCTGTGAGTACTTTTATTTATAATGTTTTATAAAATTATATCCTACTGGGTATTTTACTTATAATTTTAAGCTTCGGCATTAATTACAATAAACATTAATAAGAGAACATGAGAAGACCTGAATATTTTAAGATATTTATTTTTTGATTTTTGATTTTATTATTCTCATCTTGATTTCAATCGTTTTAATAACCTTTTGAATTATTCGATTTCGGTACTTAATTAAAATTAACACAATCCACATGGAAAATGATACTCTATATTCATCATTTTACTACTTATAACGATATCTATCATGCACTTGCGATTTTCCACAACATGAATGTTAAAAGCTCATCATCACTACAAATTGAGATCAAAGTGGGAACTATCTTCATCCATTGTCTAGACTAAAACTACAAATAGATGAAGGAAAAAGGAGAACACATCTCATCTTTTTTCATTGTATTTTGGAGCCTTTCTTGTAGGAAAGAGGCGATAGTTTGATAAGAAAATTTAAGAAAAGGAAGACCTTCTCTTTCATTTATAGAATAAGTTTTCTACTTTTGAATTAGATATGTCTAGAACAAGCTACCGTCTTTTCTTCAGGGGAAGGGTAATTCACATATATGCTATCTAATGTCTATGCTATTTTACACCACATGTTTAAGCAAATCTACAAACCCCTCATTCTCCAAAGATAATTAATACTACAAATTCCTGAAGCCCATTATTTAGTTAGTATAAACTAATGTTATAGTTTGCTATAATTAGACATTAATTAAGCCTTATCTGGCGTCAAGTAGTGAAATGCTCATATCATTCATCGAAGATGATTCGGGGTTGGTAGAAGAATGGCCTCCTTTTGCCAAATCCATCTCTACGAAATAGCCGGGTGGTTTGGGCTGAGGCAGCTCACTCTCACTTCCCAACATCACAACCACAGAGGACATGTTTGGTCTATCCACCGGACTTTGTTGCACGCATAAGAGACCGACATGAATGCAACGCAACACTTGTTCAACATTGTTGTCTGCTTCCCTCAAGTGTTTATCAAACATTTCAATTGAATTGCCTTCTTTATGCAACTTCCATGCCTAGAAAATGGCGAAATCCGATAGTGTCATTGCTCATAATTTCAATTAGTACTTGGACGTAATAACAGTTAGTGAAGCTTTTTGAAAACTTACATGTCCAATGAGGGTAACACCATGATTTTGATGGTGAAAACCTCTGCTTTTCTTCCCACTTACAATCTCCAATACCAATATACCAAAGCTAAAGACATCTGACTTTACTGAGAATAAGCCATCAAATGCGTATTCTGGTGCCATATATCCACTACATAGCAGCATTAGAAGGAGTAAAATAAGGAAAGTATTTTATCTGGAATTTAAGATTGTACTAAGTAATTAAAAAAAGGTGAAAGAATAATTCTCACTAGGTCCCTATTACTCTGTTTGTCTGTTCTTCTGTCTGATCTCCTCCAAAAATTCTAGCTAAGCCAAAGTCTGAAATTTTGGGATTCATGTCATTGTCAAGTAACACATTACTAGCTTTGAGATCTCTATGTATCACTCTCAATCTAGAATCCTGGTGAAGATATAGAAGTCCTCGAGCAATTCCGCATATAATTTGTAAGCGCTTTGACCATTCGAATAGTTTTCCTTGCTTTTGATCTGTCAGTGTTTTCGAAGTTCATAAAGCACAAAAATAGAAACTGGTTATGTAATCTAGATGGATTGGGATTCTTACCAAAAATGAAAAAGTCGAGACTTTTGTTCGGCATATATTCATAAACCAATAATTTCTCTTCTCCTTGAATGCAACAACCAAGAAGCTTCACAAGATTTCGATGTTGAAGCTTGGCAATTAGTTTTACTTCATTTTTTAGCTCATATACTCCTTGTGCAGAGTTGATTGATAGCCTCTTCACGGCGATTTCTTGTCCATCTTCTAATTTACCCTGCAAATCTCAACCACATTTTTATTTGCCTTTTACTGCCACGAAACTCTAGGGTCATTTTTCCTTAAATGAAAAAATGCTGAAGATTTTCTCGGGCAACATCATTTCGAGCTCTTTTATTTTTTTTTTAAAAAAAAAAAAAAAAAAAAAAAAAATCAAACATTTGCTAAACAAGGCCTAAGTGTTTCACTTTTTCCATATTGTTCTTAAATTTGCGTATCAGAAACTTACTCTGTAGACGGGTCCAAAACCACCTTCTCCAAGCTTATTGTACGGTGAAAAATTTTCAGTGGCAACAATTATAGAAGACAGGTTAAACAGGGGAAGCTCCAGGTCTTCCTCTTGGCCTCCATGCTGACATATTGTTTCAATATTTCTAGCTGTTTTGCCTGACAAACAATTAGACGAAATGGCATGAAAATATGATCTTCATATTAAAGATAAGAAATACTGATAAAATATCCACAAACAAGGACAAAACAAAAAATTTTGTTCAGGGGGCCTGATGTAAATTAATAGTAATAAATACTAAAAATCTCATAATTTTTCTTTATTATTTTTTTCTACTAACCTATGATTATTATTATTATTATTTTGTTTCTTTCTTCAAATATATTAACTCAAGTAGTATTGTACAATATTTCGTCCATTTGGGGTTTTTATGTTTAAAACTTTAATGGATACAAACAATAAAGTTAAATAAGATATAATTAAATAAACAAATATAGCGAGAGACTAGACGACATAAATGTAAAGTTGTAATGTGACATGCGATGTAATTTTCTCGTATTTTTTTTTTTTTTTTCTTTTTACATATATCCACAGCTCGTATTTTGTTTCAAAACTAGTGTCCAGCTTGTGTTCAAGTTGTTTAGCTAATTATGCCTTTATGATCGTAGCTGACCTTCTCTTTTGCAGAATATTACATGGCACGCCTCATAATTAAAAAAAATTACATTTATGCCACTGAATACAAATAGATCAGATTTTTCCAAGTGAATTGAGCTGCATAGATCTTAAGCTTATACCACTGGGTGGCATAAATGTGAAGATGACAACATCTGAGTGGCGTTTCAGGATTTCTCCTTTTTTATTTTTTGTTTTTGTTCTCTTGGCAGGAAATTGAATCGAGAGTAGAATAAAGATTGTTACCTTCTGAGCCTCTCCTGCAAAAGCAAAAGCCAAGAAGGAGCATCCCAGAAAAACCTCCGATGACAGATACCACTATCACTACTCTCATGTTATCACCAACTTTTCCTTTTTATCAAATCGTAGCTTGACCATTAGAAAATAAAAGAAATATATGGACTTGCTAGAAATAATATATACATAAATGTGTGTGTGTGTATATATATATATATAATATAGAACGAGTGACATGTGGTGAAATAATTAGGTTCGTACCTAGCTCTGAACTTGGCATGCGAATAAACAGATCTTGTCCACCTTGGGGAAATTGCCTGATATCTATCAGATCACCAAACCAGAGAGCACAACCACTGCCTTGCCCTCTGATATCAGTATTTGTGTAAGCCATACATGAACTGCTGCTTAAACATTTGGCCCTGCATTCCTTTGTATTCATACTCTTGTTCACCCATGAATGTGTTGTATCCGGCACTTTCAACCCCGGAAATTTGATAAACCCATCTTTGCCTTTCTCTAGAGAGCTCATTGGTTTATTCCTAACACATCCTTTAGACCAATCCATTAAGCTCCATGTCTCCGGGGACGTGGGCTTGAATCCTTTTAGGCATTCACAGATCGGGTTTTCTTTCATATCACAATTCGCATTGGCTCCACAGTGACGGTACTTATCACAGTCATCTCTAGGTGAATTTGAATAAGGCTTCCAAGCTTGATCTGCTTTGATCCATGTAAGGCGCTGACGTAAGCTTGTGGTTTGGTTTACAGCTAGTATGGAGATGAGCGACTTATTCTTCAGGTTGAATCCGTAATATACTTCATCATCACTATAGACAGATTCGAAACTAAAATACGGATTTGGCCTTTGTTCCACTCCGCCACTAAAACGAATGCCATTCCAAGGTCCGCTACGGTAGCACTTTGCGTTGCCCTTTCGGAGATAAAATTCGGGGTACGTATTAAGCTTTTGATCAAACTCAAGCCCATAAGTAAAGTCTCCAGGACAAGGGTCATCCCAATTCTTCCATGCTGATAAGCGCAGATTACGACCCGTCCTTAAGTCCCTTCCAATTTTCATCCCTGCTATTAATGTATCACAAGGATAATCGAAGCTTTGCCACAAATAGTTTTCTGAGTTTTTATCTTCCTCATCTCTTAGTACAAGATTTCCAGAATCTAGAAGCTCTACTAATGGTTTCTTGGCTTGTTTTGATGCGCTTGTAGACCAAGCAACACTCTTGTTCTGATACAAGAGAACAAGATTGCCTGTACTATTTATGGTCAACAAGCCAGAGGAATTGTTAATAGGTTTGCATCGGTTTGCAACCCAAACGATAGTTATTGGGATGTTCTTGTACCAAATTCCCACATAACGACTCTTGGAATTTCCGAGACTGAAGAATCCAAACTCAAACATTGCTTCTTTTGAAACCAAGGTTTTGCCATCACTGATGGATTGAGATGGACGAATACCGTCAACTGCAGAGAAAACTGTTTGGAAGTGAAAAGGGAAAATAATGGCAATTATAAGCATAATAGTATAAAAAATGGCCATTTGGTTTCTATTTTTCGCACTCTCAACTTTATTCAGTATGCGTTGAAGGTAGAATGGCTCGTGATTAGGCTTTGAAGACACGGATTACAATTGAATGGTATGCAAGTCTTTGGCTTGGTGCCACATTCGTCACAGGGACCACTCACTAGCATTGTTGGTGTTGGTATCTAAGTTAATGCTAAGCTAGTATGATTGAGACTTTGAGAGGTTAACGCAAACCGTGAATTACACGGTATTGACTAGTATGCATGTCTTCCACTCGGTGTGCTTTATCAAGAAATTTCTCCTTCTAGAAATTAACTCCATCTATGTGACAATTTCAAACTCATGCAATGACTAAAATCTATGGCCCAAAACTTGACATTTCAAATACCATTTTAATGGCATGTCTTAGAGTCTTCGAGTCAATAGGGCCTGCACAGCTTATCACCTGCCTTGTTCTCTGTGAGGCAGAGGAAGACCACATGCGGAAATTTGTTAAAGTTTATTTACTATTTGTTTTACCTCTTTTTTTGGAGAACTACTTCATACCTTCGATTTTGAGTTTATAAAAAAATATTTACCTTGTGTCTCAAAAAGAATCACGTTCGTTTCGCTCGTTTGAGTTTTTAACTTGAGTTAAAAAGTGAATTTATGTGAGAGAAAACATTATAGTACAAAAAGTTAAATTTAAATTTTTGTAAGAGAAAACACTGTAACAAAAACTCTGGGCCAAAATTTTCTCAAGATTGTACCTTTGAATTCAAATTCATGCCATATTTACCTTGTGTCTCAAAAAGAATCACGTTCGTTTCGCTCGTTTGAGTTTTTAACTTGAGTTCAAAAGTGAATTTATGTGAGAGAAAACATTATAGTACAAAAAGTTAAATTTAAATTTTTATAAGAGAAAACACTGTAACAAAAACTCTGGGCCAAAATTTTCTCAAGATTGTACCTTTGAATTCAAATTCATGTCATATTTGTACCTTTTCTGTTGGGTAAACTTTCAATTGAATTTACACTTTGTGACTAATGTGCTAACCTATAAGCAAATATTCATTAGGCATTATGCTTAAAAAGACGAAAAAGAGAAATTATAAAGGAAGAAATATAGAAAGGCCGCTAAAATATTGTTATGACATCCGGTGGTATAAACATAAATCTATGCTATTCAGTTTACTAAAAAATATCTAATCTATTTATTTTCAGTGGCATATATGTAAAAATTTTTGATTTTGGTGGCAATGCCATGTAATTCTTCAATCAGAAAAGTATATATGTTAAGTTGCAAAGGATAAGGTTGAATATTTTAATTTAGGAGTTAAAATCAACTATTTATCTGCCAATTAGGAAAAAAAAGTTGATATGAATTTGTACTTCGAAGATGCAATATCCTTAGAACATAAAAATATAGGATAAAAATTTTCTGTAAACTAAAAATGTAAAGTACAGAATAATAAATATAATTCAAAGAAAAAAACGAAAAAAGACAAAAAAAAGGACATTAATATGAAGAACAACGCATAAATAATAAGACTGAACCTAAAATAACAAATGATAATCTAATGGATTATTAAAATTTTTGCTCGCTGAAGTATCTCAACAATATTGGTTTACCTCCCGGCTTCAAAATGCACCACCAGTTTACCACTTTAGTTAAAGTTTAGATTTAGGGCCCGTTTAGTTCGCTGATTTGAGTTTTTAATTCGAGTTGAGATGTGACTTTGTATGAGAGCTTTTTACTGTAGCAAAAAAGTTAGGTGTGATTGTTTGTGAGAGCTTTTTACTGTAGCAAAAAAGTTAGGTGTGATTGTTTGTGAGAGCTTTTTACTATAGAAAAACTCAAATCAGCGAAATGAACGAGGCATTAGATTGTTTAGGATGTTAGACGAAAAAAGGAAAAAATAAAAAAATAAAACAAAAATGAAACTAAAACAAAAATGAAACTAAGGTACTTACCAATATATTCAAATATCAACATCTAGTGGGGCGCCCACAACTGCTTATTCAATTTGACAATTGTTGGATGGTATTTGATATCATGACTTATTATACAAGGGGTAAAAATGTAAAATTATAAGAGTTTTAGTCAAAATGTAATTTTTAAAAAGTTTTTGAATCAAAATATAAATTTTTAAAATTTTTAGGGTCAAAATGTAATTTTGTTAAAATTGTGGGCTCGAAATGTAATTTTGTAAAAGTTTTTAGGTCAAAATGTAATTTTGTGAAAAAAGATTGATCAAAATATAATTTTTTAAAAAGTATAAATGTGCATTATGCCCCCTCAATTTTTAAATTATAAGCTCCGACATGACTTTATGTCGGCCCAATCCTGACCCCTGATCGTGCCCAACCTCGACATGAATCACGGACCCGCTATAGAATAATACAATATAATACGTCAAAAATGAGTTGTATTTAATAATACGATATAAACCGTATTATTTTACCATCTCTATTAGTTTATAGAATACAATGGTCATACCAAGTATTGTATTAGTGTGTTATTACACAATACGTTGCTCTAATACGGTCAAACAAACATGCCCGAAATGTACCCTTAATATTTGAAAAAAAAAATGAAATTCTTCCCATTCTTTACTCTGTGTAAATGTTGTCCTCTGTCTAATTAGTTGCTATATGTGCTACTACATGGCACTTCTTAGTAAAAAGCTGATTTATCAGATAGATTATATAATCATGCAAATCACGTTCGCTATGATAATGATGAACGCCTTATCGACCCCCGAGTGCTGTTATGGTCATAGTGTTTTTTGAAAAGGATTCTGGCTTGTTGGAGACGTGATCTCTTTCTTGCTGTTATGGTCATAGACGGACGACATGCTTGAATAGGATGTTGTGGCATTGCACACATAAAAGACCGACTTGTATGCCCTGCGGTTTTCGTATGAATCCCTTTCTACTAGTTCAAATGCCCTTCCTCCGTTTAGCAATGTACAAATGTCAAGAAAGAATGTATCATATGAAGGAAAGTGTTGATATGGAAACAAATGCCAAAGTTGATAATCTATAATTATTTCGTTTTTGGTAGTTTCTAGTATTTCAGAATATTTTGTATTGTGTGATTTATCCTTTCCTTAGATAGCAAACATAGTATACGTATATATTCTAATGTAACATCAACAAAAAGTTGGCTAAGCCTTCATCCCTTGCCATGCAGTCGTTACTTTAACTACTTAAGATATGTTTACTAAAATTACTTAAAATTTGAGGAACGTTAATTTTTATAAATTAAACTATTCTTTCTTCTGCCACAACAGAAATTATAACATATCATATTAATATATTCATCTTCTAAAACATACATACATATTTATTAAGTCATACCATTTACATATAATTTAATAGTCATAATTAACAAAAACTATTTCTAAAATTAAATGCGAGCGGTATCCATTCTTTAATCCCCACACTAGTTGTCCGCCACTGCACCACCATCCATCAAATATTATTTGCAGGTTACTTACCTATAGTATAAACATATATAGATGACTTTTCGATCAGTAAGTAAGAACTATGTCTTATAAAACCATTGAGAATATATAAAATAAAATTATGCATGTACCATTTATTCTTAATTATGATCATGTCTTATTAAACTTACAAGCTCGAGTGTTCGTACTGGTTACGCGCTATAATCGGAAAGTTAGGATTTGTAAGGTCTACAATTACAACACCATGATCTAACTTATTAACTGAAACATGAGCCTCCCCATAGTTTCACTGGACGTATTAGTATGTAGTATGGCATCGCATCGTATATAATAACATAAGACATAAACATGCACTTATACCGTGTAGTATTTTATTTGACAACTATTCATACAATGGACGAGATTCCTACTTATATGTCACTACAACAAATATCATTATCAACAGCTGACCAAAAACGCTATTAAACACTACCAATAGCATTTTGTGAAGCGCTAAGACATCGGACGCTATTAAAAGTCCTACGAAAACATAGCATTCTGAGAGCGATATGAGAAACGCTATAGAATTGAGGTCTTATAGCATTTTAGACATGTTATTTTCAACCTCACAACTATTTGGCATTGTTACGGTACAAATCAATAGCTTTTCTCCCTTGTTATGTTCACACTCCTATAGCTTTTTAAGTCAATCACGATCTATTTTACCAATAGTAAAAGTAATACATATTAACGTCCTATTTACTTTTATCATATTAATATCTTTTTGAGTTCATTCAAATAGATGGTGATTCCGAGCAACATCTTACATCCAAATAGGAACATTCAAATTAAAACAAAAGAACATTCAACGTATTAATTGTTATCAGTATCTACTAAGTTGGCAATAAGATCATGTTTGCAACATAAGTCGCACAATTTGTCCAAAACTTTAACATTCAAAACAAGTAAAGAAAACAGATGAATAGCTAGAGATATCAAAGTATCCAAAACGTCTAGCTAAATGAAATGGTGAAGTAAATCCTTCCATCTTGACAAAATGCTTCAACAAAAAAGTTATCTCCACTGTTTAACTTGTAAGAAAGTGATGCACTATCAAAACAATGATCAAACTTAGCTAAAACTTCCACCATTTAACCTGTAAATAAAGCAAGGACTAGTTAAACCAATCACAACTACATAGCCACATCCACATATGTTTTGCAGTGAGTTAGAGGAAACATGGCTTCAATGATGCACTAGGCAAAAATTTAATGTCAAACTTGTAAGACAGAGTATCTTACATGTATCGTTATGTAGATAGTTGGAGAAAGCATGAGTCTTCATTGCCTACATTTAAACCCGAAGAGAAAAAAACTTACTCAAAATCATATAATGTTTTGCTTAAAACAAATTTGTAGATAGTAGAGATTTTTCATACCCCTTTAAAATTTTATCAGCAGGCCATGCTACATTATTTGAAATTGCTTCTTTAATGGTACTCATCTCACTCGTAGGCATCCACAAGCTAATTGGATCAAGATCACTATTATATCAGGAAGTAATTAACTGAAACCCAAATTATATTAATATACGTATATATACATATTTATACCTGCACTAGCAGAAGGAATAATTTGCTTTCAGCTCTACAACCGTTTGTTTCAAACTCTACATCTACATCTATATTCCAAAAAGGAACAAAAAAAAAAAAAAAAAATCCAGGAATTTGCATTCCTGTCATTATATAACTTAAAGATCCTTCAAATCAAACTAGGGGTATTTGTTTAGTAGTCCAACTAATCCGCAACATGCAATTGGAGGAAATAATCTATAACTAGTGGACAGACCACTAATAACAGAAAGCAGTAAACATGTAATATAAGGGATTAGGGAATAATAATCACAGGCCACAGCAGAGAACTCCAAAAAAAAAATACACAAAAAAAAAAAAAAACAAAAACAAAAACAAAAACCCTTAAAAAATAACAATGAAGAACGGTTTGTGTGCAGTGTTTCATGGAACATCTTGTTTCCAGATTTGTGAGATCCAAAACTGTAAGCATCTCAAAACAATAAATGTTATAGGTATGTCAGTATGTCTGAATTGGATTATTTGGTTACATATGTTGGCAAGGATCAGGGACGTTTGTTAGTAAAAAGATGCCATTAATGTAAAAGAAAAAGGATATAAATGAAAAATGCCTACTTATCTGAAGGCAAAGAATCCAGAGCTTGTTCTTCTATAAGTTGCTCCACAGTATCCAGAGCAGTTCTGACCTGCATAAAGAAAATTTATGAGATAAAACCAAACAGAGAAACAAACCCAAAAAAAAAAGGTATGTTTCATGCTAGAATCAATTCAATATTTTCATATTCATACAAGAACAGGTTCAGCTTGTCCCACAGTGTAACTTTTACTTGCATTATTGGTCCATGTACTAATTATGTGAGAGTTCTAATGTACAAATACTGATTGTAGTAACATGACAAAGCTGATACATCAGAAAGAAAAATACAGGTTTACAAAACTTATAAAATTTTTGCAATGAAATAAAACATTATTCTTCTAAACAGTGAAAGAAGTCTATAGTTGAAACCTGAGTATTGGCACATAAGAAGACAGTGCAACCAAGGTTTTAAAAGGCGGAATCAGGCCTTGAGGCTTTTTGCGTGGACGAGGTGAGGCGTGAGCCTCAAGGTGCTTTGAGGCATAAGCCTCAAAAAATGCCTATAAAAAATTTAGGGAAAAAAAAATACTAACAAAGACTAAATCCATACTTAATAATCATTAAAAACAAGAAATTTAACCAAACAACCACATAAAGAGAAGTCTATTTCACTACTAGAAGCGTAAAAAAGACTATAATTATCAAATCCTAATATCATAAGGTTCATAATGCACTTCTAAAAGCCTAATCTCCCAACTCATCAATCATCATCACTACTAAGAGAAGAAGAGTGTTTGCCCGTGCCAGGAAGGAGGAGAGACGGCTGTGCAAGTGGCTGGCTGCTTCTTTTGTTATTAGGGTTTTTTCTTAGTCATTAAGGGCCTGGGTACTTTGGGCTTTTTAAAACTTTTGGGCCAGCCTGTTAAAATAACCCACCAGAAGACCCTTTGCAGAGAGGCGGATGCCTCACTAACCACCTGAGGCGCTGCTCAAAGGCGTGCGCCTCTGGCGCTTTTTAAATCCATGATTAAGATATTGAATCTTTGTTTCAAAAAAAAAAACGAAGATATTTAATTGTTGATCATTATTTGGCTGAGCGAAGAAAAGGGAGAGGAGAGAGAGAAACAATGTAATAGAAGGGAGGAGGCAACCATTCTCTGATTTTTCTTTGGTTCTTAGTCAACTCTGGCTTCCTTAAAAGTTAGGTTAAAAGAACTAAAAAAAAAACACCCAAAGTAAGAGGCGTTAGCCTCATGCGCCTCTTGAGGCGTAGCCCTGAGGCATGGGCCTCACATGAATGAGGCGTAAGCCTCATTCCCCTACCCTCAAAGCATAAGCTTTGAGGCGTTTTTTCAGCGCCTCGCCACAAGGCGGGCCTTGAGGCGTAAGCCTCAGGCGCTTTTAAAAACATTGAGTGCAACCTTTCACGAACCAAGACAAATGAAAGAAAAACATTAACTCTGACCTTAGTTAAGTACAACAAAGACATGTTTCGAATATCTCCACTACGATGTCGGGACAAAGTATCCAATGCGCAAAGGTTTACCCAATTCAGAAAATTAGACAACCTGACCTTCAGACAGTAACAACCTCTAGAGACCAAAAATTTTATTAGAGACCAAAAATCATATGAAAGCCGGCTCATTCTTTTTAGAATGCCTTTCAACCACCATTACTTTTCTCTTGAAACAGCCTTCTCTGCATCATTTCTATAAAAATAAAAGAGCTTATGAGGGAAATCCCTTACAATCCTTTCACGCCTATCATAAAACCGTTCAGCCATCGGACTACTTCAAGACCTCTTTGTTAGCGTCACCTAAAACAAATGATCCAAGGGAACCTTTCCTTTGAGTCATTTGAATTTCACTATCTTTCCCCCCAATAGTTTATAGGGCATTCTTGTATCATTTTCGTTTCACAAAATTTTAAAAACAATCTTCAATAAATTAGGTTGACTAACTTGACTTAAGTAAAGTTAGTCTATAAATGATAGTTTAGGCCTAAAAAAGATCTACATACCTTAGCTCGTTCCTAAAGAGCAGAGCACCATCAGATCAGATCCAAGGTTCGTTCATCCATTTGTAACTAAACAATGATTTCAAGTAGTGCTACCAGCTCTATGCTTGCTTTGCTAAGGGTTTTCCGATCTGACTTCTGACTTCTTTCGAGCCTCAGATGAAGAACTGTATTCAAAATCAAAAATCAAAAAGCAAAACCAAAAATCGAAAAGGGGAAAAATATAAATGAACCTTCTCCTCCTAATCTAAATGGAGCAGGAAATTTGGGAATTTGGGGGGAAAAATTCGACTTAGGGTTTTTTTTTTTCCTTGGCCGGCGAAATGGCTCTTCGACAGAGTGGGGAATCCAGCATCGTATGGGAATTTGGGTAGCAAGCCGAGAGAAACAAAAAAAAGGGAGAATGGAGTGGGAATTTGGAAATTTGGGGAACCAATTTTCATTACCCGCCCAAAGAAATTCTAATGTTTATATATATAACAAACAGTTATCAAACGCTAATCTGTGTAGTGAATTTAAATTTTGACAAAAGCTTATATTATGAACAGGAATACTAAATTTTATAACCTACAAATTGAGGGTTTTCTTGTGCAACTAACAAATTTCAAACTAACAAACAAATCATCACAACAGAATTGATGCAACTAAGAGAATCGAAACAAAAGTAGAGTAGAAAATTGTGATTCGACAAGAAACAAGCCTTACAAAATCAAGCCATACCTTGGTATCTTCTTTCAAAACCCAAACTTGTACAGAGAAACGAAGAGAAGAACGACCCAAACTTCAATAGATCAAAGACCCAAATTTTGAATGAGGGGAGTTTTACACTTCAACAGATGCGCGATTAATTTGAGGAGAAAGAAGCTGAAACAATCAAGTCATACCTTGGTTATAGCAACATCAAAACCCTAACTTTTATAAACAAACAAATAATCGCTTAATTTATTGATTTAAGTTTTAAGTTTTTAATTTGAATAGAGATATAACTTTATGTAAAAAAAATTTTAAAAAAATTTTATTGTAATAAAATTTAAATTTTAAATTTGAGTGAAATAAACAGGACTAAAGAGAACAATGACCCAAAGTTCAAAAGCTCACAAAACTAAAAATTTGAGAAGTCCTTTGCTGCACAAACGAGGAGGTTTTACATTGTGTAGAAAGAATTCTTCCTCAATTACATTGAGTTACGCCTGAGGTTTTCTTTTTTTTTTTTTTCTTTGGGCTGCCAAAATGGCTCTTCAGTTTTTTCTTTTTAGATGGTGGCAATTTTTTTAGTTCTTCTCAAACAGTTTTGGGCGTGCGCCTCTCCCGTGTCATTAAACTTAATATTGCGCACATCTTTCAAAACATTTACGAGTAAAGTAGAAATATATATATATATATATAACATAACTTTTTTGAAACGCTATTGAATACAAGCAAAATAGATTTTAATAGCGGTTTTTCAAAAACACTATAACTAAAAATTATCAAAAACCCTCTCTATTGTAGTGTGTTTTTCAGCAACTAATACTCACTACTTGCCAAGATTTCTATCCTCTAATTCTAAGTTCTGTAAAAGAGCATCCATTAAGAATGTGAGATTAGCTTATCGTGTTCTATTTTAATTCAATGTAGTCATAAAGGAATTTAATCCTCTCCTTAGAAGATATTCACCTTTTATTAAAGGATCGTAAAATTACCATACTTATTACAAGGATTAATTTATCCAATCCTCATAATTTCATTTTTCTTAATTGTCCTTACTTCTTCATGCTTAGGTTTATAATTAATCAAATAATTAGTTATTCAGTCCATTATCCAAGTCTATATAACTATTCCCTTAATATTCTTACTGCAATGGGTATGACCCAGCTTCCCGAGTCATTACTTACCATGACTAAATCTTAAAAATTCTTTAAAACCACTTTAAAAGTAAACTTTGGTCCAAAATTTTGGGATTTAAAAAAAAAAAAAAAGCTTTAAAACTTTAAAACTATATTTTCCTTTCAAAACCCCCTCTCTTTTTTTCTTGCTTTGACATTTTCTTCCTTTCATCATGCGGCGTTAATCTTAGCACTTTCTCCGTACAAAATATAATGGATATGAGTTTGTTGTAGTATTTATATTACATGCAAAATATGTAAGTACTTTAACCTTAAGCTTAACATAGGACATTAATACTATGGTCTGCATTTCTGATAATATACCAATCATATTTTAATAAGTTTACTACTTCAAAATATTTTAAAAGACGTGTGTCAAAAACTTTGTTGTATGGTGGCATCCTTTACTCATCCTTCACCGCCATGTAATCTGCTAGTCCAACATATTTAATGTGTTGCAGGTTTTTTACCTACAGCATGAACAAACTTAATGAGCAAAAGCTCAGCAGGTACAAATATCCTCACAAAACATTTTTTTTTTATACAAGCAGCTATATAAAAATATGCATGACATCTTATGCTCAATTATGAAAGCATGTTTTATCTTCTGTGGGCACTGTACTTGTACCATTTGCGCGCAACTAGTGAGGTGCCGGGGGAGCCACCCAAACATTTAGTCCAACAACAACCAATGTCATAATCATTAATTCATTACTGTTATAATCTCCCATTTTAGTCCGAGGATAATTAACCTCCCATTTGGCCCAGAGATTTGATACCGCACCTTACATTATCTTCCATTACCTTAGTCTCTTATTAAAAGCGAATATGTAATTATGAGCACGTCACATAGGCATATTAAAGTGTTTAACTTGATGTGGCAACATCATATCATTAACTACATCATCAATCACGGAAAAGTTATGCATACAAGCAAGCAGTTTACAAACATATGATGTCATTTCTAAAATCACATTCATATTGTAGGTGAGATTTGTACTTATTTAGATCGCGCTAACGTTATCCTAAGTGGTATCCCTTTCTTGATTATCAGTCAATAGCGTGTCCTACTGAAGTTTGACACTCGATTGTCAATTATATATTTTCCTAGTTTGTCAATAAACAAAAATCATAATTGATTTTGGACTCATTCTGTGATGACCCTTAACTTTTAGTCATCATTCCTACGTTCATACTTAGCTCATTTTCTATTTTTTTTCTACTTTTTAATTATAACCTCTTTTTTCCTTCAAGAGTAGAATTGATACTAATAATCTTTGGTGGAATAAAACTTCGTTCCGTAATTCTTATAAAACTTGAATATCAAAAATTACTTTTGAGAAAACATTTTCAACTTTTTTTTAAATAATCTATAGATGAAATTCTTTAAAAACCTTGAACTTGTTCTCCATAATTGTGGTCATGTATTTAACCTATCATTCGCATACCATTATCATTCATATGCCATTAATATAATAGCATTTTGGATACATTAACATTCCTTGCGACTTTAGGTTGCTATGCATAGCCTCGTTGTCTCATACATTTTACTTTAATTACATAAATTGTTTACATTCATAAACATTATTTATTTTATTCACATAAAACTTAGCAGCATTTTCAAAACACGTGATGCATCCATTACCCACTTGCCCACATCCCACTGCTACATCCTTTTCTGCACGCCCAGCATACAAGTTTTAGGGAGCTGGTGCCTTACCCGAAGTTCCTACAACACGAACAAACGGGATGAGCTTTCGCTCAACAAGTAAGAGCAGTTCACAATAAATACCAAACATTAATGCATACCCATATATGCATTCATATCATACGTCCTAGCGCACTTCCTTAACATTCAAAGTGTTCATCATATTATGCTTTATTTTCTTTCATATTATGCTTTATTTTCTTTCGTTTCATCCTTCTTGACATCTTTTGTTTTTGTGTCGTTCATTTTTTATAGCTTTTAGTTCTTATGGGCCCCACCCTATTGTACCATTACGCGCATAATCGGTGAGAAGTGGGGTAACTAACTAAGACCAACTCACTCATGGTTTCGTTTCACTCATAATCATAATAACCTTTCCTTGTGAAGGCCTATACAAACAGTATTATTAACTTTTTATCGTTTGCCATCTTTATTTACTCATCATCTTACTGTCATCATTTCATATTATGACAGAAATTTTAATCTTTTCATCTTCCTGTCATTTTTTCATATTATGATAGTAATTTTAATCATATTGGTACATCTTTGAGCATTCTTACCAATTTCCTATGAAATTAGACTTCATTCAAATGTTTGACTTTTGTTGACTTTGACTTTGACTTTATCGCAGATTAAAATTCTACTGCTAATACAAGTCCATAAGCAAATTCAAAGCAACAAACAAGTTTCAAGAAACATCTTTCACTTAGTGACATACAATGAAATCATTATATGCACAATTTTATGCAACACAAGAAAATTATCTTCTTCGTGATATAGACATAGAAAACTACAGTACTTAGAGGAGTTCTGCTAAGGTCAAGGCTTTGGAGTCTCCAGAAACCTTACAGTAGTTCCTTGATCGCGTATTGGTCCTATCATATAAATTTCCGATCATTAGATTTACAATCTAATATCAGTAATTGAAACACAATTTGATCTGAATCTGTGCTTTCGTAAATGTTAATTTCTTAAAGAGCATATGTCGCTTCTAAAATCCTTAAAGAGATCTATGATTTCATGTTAACATCACCTATATCATCAATGTTCACCAAGCCCGTGCACTTTTTACCTTAAATCACATTTTAGACTTGTTTTAGAAATCAGCCCGAAACTGATGTCTAGGGTCGTTTTTGAGAAAAATACTATTTCACAAAAGTTGTTTGGAACGAAATTTCCTTCAACATATTATTAGTCATTTTTTGAAACTATGCTTTTATCTTAGTTTTTCTAGCCCAAAACAGCGCCGGATTCAATTTCCAGGTCAATAACCTAGCTTTCAGTTTTGGTCCGAAACTGAGAATTTTCATCGTTTTAGGCTTCTATACATCTCCGATCACCGAATCAACTTACTTTACACATCTTAATCCTCCTATTCTTTATGAAACTAGTTTTACTTTAAATTCTCAAAGCTAACCATAGCTTGTTTAATCCGTAATTCTACCATTCAAACACATCATATAATCATTCTCATTCCTCTTATCATCATAAACATCAAAATCTCTATGGTTATTTCACTATTCTCATAAGATTTCATCCTAAACAAAAATGCTAAAACATAACTTAATAACAAAAAATTTAACCTCTAAACATTTAGTTTTTCGGTACCATTCATAACCATAAGCCAATAATCATTCTTAGTAAAAAAATTTCATGTTCTTTACTATTCATAGACGCGTAGCCATGGTAGAAAAGAAGGTGAGAAATTGAAATTTTACCTTAAAATGAAGAGACAACCACAAAGACACTAATCCACGGTGGTTTTTGTCAGTTTTCGCTTAGAAGTCATTTTTTTTCTTCTTTTCTCTTTGGCTGATGCTTTCTTGTTTTTGGTATGTAAATGAGCATTTTTCTTACCTTTTTTTGTTATAAAAATTGGACCTAAAAAGAAGGAGGGACTAAAGTGCAATTTTGGCCTTTTCTAGGGTCTTTTTTGCAAAAAAAAACTCAAAATATCTCACTTGGCTTCTCCCCTAAGTCTTGGTCGACCCTTCATCCAATAATCACTTTAAATCTTAACCATCCATTGTTTTAGTTATTATCTTATTTCGGTTTAGTTTAATTCCTAACCGGTGTGCGTTTTATCTGCACTTTCCGGATAGTTGGTCAACTTGGTCAACTTTACTCAACCTTACTTAACCTTATTCAACCCTGACTAACTTTTTAAGAGTGACCTATTGGTCGACTATTGGTCAACAAATTGACTCAGTCAACCCTAATCGGTCAAAAATCATAATTTTCTCGGTTCGGCCTTTCGAACCCCTTTTTCGTCAGTTTTTCATCCTCATTGTTTCTGAAACCCTAAAATTGATGTTTTTAAACTCTTTTTCATTCCTTAAATTTAACATTCATATGTTTGTACTCTCATGGGATTAACACAAATTTTGAGCCTCTTTCTTCATTACAGTTCAAAATTCGATAACTGCGTGATAGTTCAAAAATTTCTAACTTTCAGCTTATACTTTGCTATTCAATAATAATATCAACAAATACTTATCATAAAAGTATTCATATTTATATTATAGAGAATTCCAAGAAATTTCATCTTATACAATAATTTCTCTGATAAATTTTCCGGTCATGACAATCACCCCTCCTTATAAATTTTCATCCTAAAAAATCAGAACAAATAGGGGTATTTCTCTCTCATATCATCTTCACA